TCTGTGCCGGTTGGCCATTCTGGAGATACTGTTGGCACTTTGGCGTAATAGATCAGAAAGCCGCAAGAGGCGGGAAATATTAGCGTGTCCATTGTCTCCCAGAGTTCCGATCCTATCCACCCTCCCCTTATAGTTTTGTCAAAGTAATAGTTCAAATTCAGATCCGTTTTTAGTCCGCCTTATTCAGCTTCCACCATTTCACTTGAAGAATTAGATACCTCCTCAGATTCAGACAATATTTCTGAATCCGATTCGGAATCGGATTCTCCAAGAGAAATAATGAAAGGAGGAATATTTTTGAAAGGTAAGTCTCCAATGTATTTTGTCCAGTCTTCTGAAATAAGTCTGTCACAATGTCTACAAAAATTCGTCTACATGTCTGAGGTACATTTTGAAAGAGACTCACGCCATACCCTCGCAACCCTATCCGTGGATGGTGGCTGCGAAGTTATAGTTTTATTATAGAAGTTCTTACAAAACCCCCATGCCATTCCAATAGGATTATATTGGCAATGATAAGAAGGTAATCTAAGAACTTCGTGTCCGTGGCTTTTCAAAATGTCGTCAATTTTGTATTGTTTTGGTCTATTCCGAAATGGTTGAGTTAGGTCCCATAGTTGTTTTTTGGTCATTTTTGTGTCGAAGTCTACGTTATGTTTAACCAACCATTCCTGCATTTTGTCTTTCTTTGAAGAGAATGAAGGTGGTTTATCCTTCTGCTCTGAATGATATGGAGCGTTATCCATGATTATTAGACATTTCTCTTCAAATAAATTCAATGCAGGAATTAGTTGATCAACGACCCATTTTTGGAAGATGTCCGCGTTCATGATATTGTGGTAGTCTCTGTCATTGTTTCTTGAATCTAGAAAAAAATCGCACCCATCTAAAAACCCAGAACTACTCCCCGCATGCAAAATAGTAAAACGTTTCCCCTCTGACTTAATTTTGGATGGGTTGCTTTTCATATCAGATTCGTGTATCCATCGACGAACTTGAGATCCGTTTTGGTAGATCCAAGTTTCATCTAAATACACGAATCTGATATTTTCGTTTGAATGTTTATATTGGAGGTATTTCCGCAAAAATGTAATTTTGGCAGCAAGAACATGTTTCTGCTCACATAAAATTTTGCGTCCATTTACTGCTTTAAATTTATTATATCCCATAGATTTTAAAATTTTAGATGAACTTGTTTGCCCTCCCTTAAATTCCAAATTTTCTTTTGCGTATGTCAGTAATGTTTGTAATGTAAAATATTCATTTTTAGAGCCAGCGCCGAAAAAATTCTCTGAATTTACTAAAGCCAGTTTTTGGTCAGTTGATTACAGTATTCACGTACATAAACATACCTCGGTCAGTCAAGCGAAACTTGGGACAAGGACTCTATCGATGTACCAAACACCCTGTATACATTATTCTCATTTACGGAAATAAAAAGATTTACCCCCACTGAAGGTAACCGCAAATTCCTTGTGCGTGGAATAGAAATAAAAAAATCCTCCTGTCGTTGTCACGCTTTTCCCTCTAGTAAATCTGGCAACCCTAGCAGTACGAGAATCACTTTCCCGGCCTAGGTCGGAAAAGTGATTCCCGTATTGTTATTCATTGATTCCTTAGCAACTATTGAAACTTATTAAAATACCAGAATATTGGGTTTGGCGACATTTCTTGTCAACTGCAGAAAAAAAATCTATTTTTTTTTTTTTTAAAGATAATAGACCTATCTATTTTACCAGACAAAGAGGTAATAATACGAAAACTTTATTACATAGAAAAAGACGCAGAACGCTTATTGCGCAAGACGAGGCAAAACGTACCAAACCATGTTAGACTTATGTATAGCAATCCCTTCTTATGATTTGCACGGGATAGAAAGGGAAGGAGGAAAACCGCGTGACGTGCAACGTATTTGTCACCGCCCCCTGATCCTTGTCAGACCACGGGCAATGAACAAAGACAAGGAGATGCGTGCAAAACGAACACCTCTCACCTGTATTAGTTAGCAAATAAAAATGCATTGCCTCGTGTTGCGCGCGCATACAGGTAAAAATAGATAGTTCTATTCCCCAAGTCAAAAATTTAGTAACTGTTGGCAACACCAAGCTACAGTGACTTTATTACCACAGTGGCGACAATTGCGGTCTCATTTTTGATTGGTTCAAAAATCCCATATGTTTATATTGAAAATGCCGCCATCTTGTTCCCAACCTCTTGTTACTTTTAAATATGAATATATAGGATTTAGGTGAACATCCATCATAAAACATGGAAAACAACGTATTTGATGAACCTAATAATGGTCATCAAATATGCCGATTTAAATTTTTTATGATAGATGTCTATTTAAATCTTATATATTAATATTTGAAAGTAACAAGAGATTGGGAACAAGATGGCGGCGGGAACTCTATTGTCGCCACCGTATGTAAAGGTTTATTTAGCCACTGTACACCAAGCCTTTTCTACATTAAAATTTGAAAGCATTGACAATTTTACATTGTATTGCCAACATAATGTCATTTTGACTTTTATCTTTAAAAAAAAAAACACACTTTAAATCGGGAACCCCACTCCGGACAGAAAAATCGTATCAAGTATCGATATTTCCCGAACTATATTTTCAGTATCCGACAAAATAAACAGTACCTACTGAACATATAAATTATCATTTATTAATTTGTATCACGCGTAAATAGGTTTGTTCAAAAAATGCATCATAGCGACGCAAAAAAGTTTCATAACGATTCTGCAAATTATTGGAAATATTTATTAAGAGTGGTTGCTGAAATTTTTCTGAGACTTGTTTCAAACTTGAGCCTTTATTCCTTCCAAATCCATATATGACCGGAAATTAGTGCTCTTTTAAAGAAAACTGTTTCTTAAGTTGAAAGATAAATATTGGCCAAGATTTTAACATCAACTTAATATCAACCTCATAACTAATGCCAAGTAAGCGAAATATGATAAATGCAACTTGCGTGCGCAATTACCCAGAGCTCTAGATTCCGGTACTGTTTATTTTGGCGGATACCGTATTATAATATCGATATGAAAAAGAAAATTAATAGAGACGCTTTGAAAGAATATAGTATCGATACTGGATACCTATGAATATCGATAAACCCTTCTCTAAATTCATATGTCCAACCCAACCGTGTGTTCCGTATTTTGATCTGAGTTCTCCGAGCAAAATTTATTTACGGTTCGTTTATTTTAAAAGTGTACTCGGTGCAGGCCAATGACGTGCAGGCTCTTTTGTATTCGTTTATTAAAATTTCGGGCACTCGGACGGACAGCGGACACAGCGTTCAACTTCCCTGATCGCTCGCTGGTCACATGATTACGGCTCCGCTCAGCACGCTCTGCTCTTTGAGCAAAAAACCGCAGGCAAGAGCCCTTTTCACGTGGCTCCGGTTTAACCATCAGTTCTTTTCACGTGGCTCCGGTTTAACTAACTGGGTTACAAAACGGTTAGAGAAATGACATACCGTTTTCTAACCCGGTTACAAAGTGAAGTGATGGATACCTACCACTCGAATTTGAGCGGTATGTTGCGGTTTGTTAAACCGGAGCCACGTGAAAAGGGTTATTGGGTTTAACAAACCGCAACATACCGCTCAAATTCGAGTGGTATCGACGACGTCACTTTGTAACCGGGTTAGGTAACGGTATGTCATTTCTCTAACCAGCTCGGCGATATGGTTACGTTAAACGGTTAGAACAAAAAAAAAATAGAAAATTTATAAACAACGCAGAGCAAGAAAATTCTGACACGTGTAAACTTAAATATTAAGTTGTGTTCCTGTTAATATTATTTTAACTCGTTGGACTGCCTAATTTAAAACAGGGATGTGCGTCTACACGTAGACTTTCATTGTCTACTTTACGTGTAGATAATGTAGACAATAGAAAGTTCTCGTGCGTCAGACGTTACGGTAATACGGTACCGCTAACAGTAGGTACGGTATTTCACATGGTATTTTATAGTTCTCAGGCACGAAGACACATAAATCCTGTAATACGTTTACATTTTGACAGCTGAGTTGAGTAATCTAACCCCACTTTTTGTGCTTGTTTACTAACTTTAATTTATTCTGAAGATTCCTGAGCTTGATTAATTTTCCCTTGGTGATTTTTATGGACGAATTATTAGTTGCTGTTTTTGCAGACACAAATGGAGCGTAAACTAGTTTTTACATAGCATAGCGTTACGGTAAGGCATCCGGTAAGTTCCGTTAGATAGCGGGCTCCTCTAACGCTAATACCGTAAGAACTGTCATACTTGTCAAATAGCGTTACGTTATTTGAAATTTGGACGGCACGAGAACTCTCTAATGGCCGTGTTCGTTTTTGTCATCTATTTCATCGATTTGCTCCGAAATTTTGACAGGCACGTGATTTGTAAATTGAAACTGTCTGATCCAGTCACGTGCCTGTCAAAATTTCGGAGCAAATCGACGAAAAAGATGACAAAAACGAACACGTCCAATGTAGACAATGTAGATAACGTGTCAACAATGTAAAATAATATAAATGACGTTTAATTCTAACCTCACGCTTTCCTTTTTTTAAATTATTTTTATTTTATTATTGGTTTTTCTGATATTTTATAATTAGTGAATGCTAATATCGAAGTGATAGTGATATTATAGTAACTTTTGATATATTTTTTTCGAATTTTTTATAATAAAATATTGTTTACGCCGCATGTAGACAATGTGTAGACAAATGCTCACGTAAACAATGCGAATTGTCTACGCGTAGACAATCAATTGTTTACGTTGACATTGTCTACAGGCACATCACTGATTTAAAATAACGTTTTTCTAACCGTTCGTTTACAAGTGGCATTTCCAATGACGTTATCACTTGACAATCTTGACATTCGCTACTAACCGTTTTGTAACCCGGTTAGTTTAAACCAGAGCCACGTGAAAAGAACTTAAGGTAATCATCCAGTGTCAGAGCTCAGCAGTATTTGACATTTGCTTTGTTGACTTTTTAGTTATGTTTTATGTTGACTTTTTTTTTCCTATTCCTAACCACCATAAAGTGATTAAAATTCAATTTAAATTTAAATGGTCCAAATTTCTAGTTTTTATCTATTTATCAAATAAAACAAGAATAATGTAAACATATTCAATGACAAAAGCAACTTCAGTATTTTAGGCAGTGATTAGATTATAATTAGTTAAGATCAAAATTGGTTATGAGGAATCAAGAAATACGTTTGTTTGAAGTAATTGCAACATAACACATAATAGAATAGAGAAATTTCCAAATTAAATTTAATTAAGACAAATTTCCTGCTTGATATTTAACTGACTAACTCAAGTAGATGTTTTTGGGGTACTTAACTTGTTAAGTGAAGTCAAGGCCGATTTAATCAAACAGGTTCAGGGGATTCTGAAAACACATCTGTTTAAATGAAATCTTCCCAAAAATCACTTCGAAGTGAAAGCGAGAGTGAAGACTCCAATACATCAATAATCACGAAAATGTTGAAAAGGCAAGTAACCAATTAACCTCATCTCACAATGAACTAAAAGTCAAACTTTCACTTGATTCAGCTCAAATGTACAGGACCCGGTACAGGACTAATTTATAGTTTAAAGGATATCAAATAATCAGACTTGTATTTTTCAGTTCTAGTACTGGCTCCAAAACAAATCTACAAAAGGAAAATACTGACCTTACTCAAAAATGGCTTGAAACACTTAGCTTGCTGAAAAACCACCAAATCAACCAGACACGTAGCCGATCTTCTGGTAACTCTTCTAACACTTTCATCACCCAACAGTCTTTGAACAAACAGAAACCTTATTTGCTTAGGTAAATGTATACACAAATTACAGTGTTATGGAAATTTGCTGAAATCATTTCAGGGATTGTTCGTTTCAATCAGATGACAGCCAATGTAGCAGCATCGAATCAGTTCTGGAGCTCAGAAAACCCGATCCAGAAGAAGTACTTTTAGGATTAGGGTTCGGACCAAAAAGCAACTTGAATGTTGGTGGAAGAATACCTGCCAGGTTTTTACAACCATCAAAGGTACCATGGAGTTTTTTGTACTGCAATAAAATTTAGTATTGGATTCCTGAGGTAATTGGAGGATAGAAAGTTTTTCCCAAAATATAACTTTTTGCTCTTCTCTCAACTATCAAAATGTGTAAAGCACGGACTGTGTGTTTCAAATAGACAATAGATCCAAATTTAAAATCGAGTAAATTACGTTCACCTAGGAATTTGTCTATACAAAATCTAGTTGCGTTCTATGTAGTTACCCCACTGAGTACCCCACCTTCAACAACTTTTCATCTTGATTATCTCAAGAATCCAGTCCTGAATATTCTTGATGAAAGTAAGTGTGAGTAAAAATTTTAATAGGAATTGGTATTTTTGTTTCCAGCTAATCACCCATATTGACATTAACAAGTTCCTCGAACAATATGGAGAAAATTATTGCGACTTACCACAGTAAGTTTTTCCTTTGTTTCAATAAAAAATTAGACACCATTTCAGTAAATCTGATTGGTACTGATTCTTGTTGGAACAAGGCCTAAAATCAGAAAAATAATTCTAGATCAGTTCCACCGTCACCAGCTAAAGCTCGACCAAAATCTCACTAAAATAGCAGAGTTCTAGGAACCATTCCATCGAATTATTATAGGTTTTTAATAAGAAAATTCCATTTCATTCCATTTTAGTTTTGAAATATTTGCCATAAAGTTACTTAGTTCCTAATTTGGAGCAAAATGGATCAATGGAAAAATAGATGCCTACTTCTGTCCATTGGCCCACTGTTGCCATTACTATTAAAAAAAAAAATATGTGTAATCTAGCTTTCTTGCCACAGTTATTATAATTTGTTTTTCAAAAAATAAATAATTTCCAAATTTTCTAATAAGGAAAATTACACAAACGATTATAATTTTATTATCCATTTGATATTTCCTTGTGAATCAATTTTGCGGTTTCCTGGCAAACACATAAAAAAGTAGAACCCCAGTTATACAAGGTATCATGCAGGCACCCTCCTGGCATAATTCAGATTTAAGCAAATTTACGTGCTATAAGAGACCAAAACATGAAAAGGGTCACAAGCCAAGGGAACATAGACGCGCGTGTCTCGGATAATCAGGATCTTTGAGTCTTTAGATTGGCTTGGTTAATCCACAGCTCAGATACTTGGGGTTCTACTGTACAATATCCCTAAATAATTTTATCAAGAATTTTATGTTAAATTAATCTAATCTAATCTTGGTATTTAAATATTTACATATTATAAGAGTCCTCTATTTTCTGAATACATACATATCTCTATGAAATTTCGAATTTATTCTAGCTATAAGGCATTAGCATTTTATAAATAAAAGTCAATTTCTAATTTAAGTAGAATTAAGATTTTTCCAGAGTGATTTATTAGGGAAAAAAATGGATTTGGATCACATTGAGACGTTTTTCAAAAAACTTTATCCATAATTGCATAGCCATCCAAGATTCCTGAAAGTTTTTTCTCAAATTGTGAAAATACAATGCAATTATTATATTATTAATTCTCTAATGTCAGGGGTCGTATTTTCGAATTATTTCGAGTACATTCCGTACACGAAATTTGATTGAAAGCAATGTAAATTAAATGGGGAGCATTCGAAATCGTATCAAATTTCGTATGCGAGAATATTTGAAAATACGTCCCCAGAATTAACTGAAATACTGTTTTCCGAATCCATATTTTTGTATTTGAAGCTTGTCCCAACATAATTCCAAACTAAAAAATGAAAACCTTGGAAAAAAAATACATGTTTGCTCTAAAAGGAGCCAATCCATGTTCTCATCATTTTTGAGGAATCCATTTGGCAATGAATTGTTGTTGGCACAGACCTCTTAGGGTTGCTAGTTCCATAATCTGAAAATCGTACATTCCAATTCAAATTCAGCTTGGCCTTAATGCTGCATCCTTTTGTGCCGAACTGATTTTTTTATGTAAAAAACTTTTTAAAAAAAATAGAAAGTTGAGCAGTACCAACTCCAAAGAATCATTTGCTGTTGAATTTCTAAAAAGGAATATTTATTGATATGTAATGCAAAACATAAAAAAATTGGTCCCTGACAGTAATAATATGGGGGTGTAGTACATATAAGGCTTTTTATGTGGGTTGAGTAATTAAGTTTATTTATTTTAGTGCCCAGTTGCCATTTTATAAACAAATACATATTTTTTTAAAATTTGTTATTTTTACATTTTAAGGACCAATTAGGAAATTTTAATAAAGCCCGTTTAGTAAATTTGTGTATCTTTTATTTTGTCTATGTCTATAGTGTGATTTTTTAAGTGTACAACATATGAGGATTTTTTTTAGTAAAAGCACAATCAAAATACAAACAAGGCCAAAAGTTGGTGCATGTCTGATAATCATATCATGTGCACTTAGAATGGTTGCAAGTCACAGCATACAGCGTAGCTCAAACAATATCAAAGCTGTACTATAAAGTACCCTTATTTTAGAAAATTCAGCAAAATGTTATAGAGAAAAGTTGTTTGGAATTAAAAGTTATGCCTAACTACCAAAACATAGTCCCCTAATATTTTTTTTATTTTTTTTCAAAAAAAAATCTATAATTTCTATATTTTTTTTTATTTTTTATTTCTGCCCTTAATACTTCAAAAATTAATTAAAATCAAATCAAATCAATTTTACATAACTCTGTTTAAATTCAAGCATATTTGTAAAACTAACTTAGATTTTTAATTTTTTATGGAATCACAAAATTCATGTTTGTTGCAATGATATTCAACACAACTTTAAAATGTCGCAATTTTTTTTTAACAGGAGTTATGTGCTTAATATATCACTTATCGTTTCTTAATGTAAACATAATGTTTCACTTTCTAATGACACATTTATGACTTCTTTTAGATATATATAGAGCTGAGGGATCCTTTGTAAGTAGATTAGTATCACTGAAGACTTAGACCTATAAGTATTGTAATAGTTATTCTCTATTTTTGCGTAAATAAAGTTTTTTAAAAACAAAGTTACGCGAATAAATAATTGGCGCAGTCGGTAGGATTCTGCAAGGTATCAACTCAACTCACTTAGAGAGGGTACTTTTCCCGAAACTTTAAAATTATCAGCAATAAAACCGTGTTATAAAAATAAAGGAGACAGCAATCTGATGGATAACTACAGGCCGATCAGCCTGCTTCCGGGTTTCTCAAAGTTGTTTGAAGTTGTGATGTGTAAAAGAATTTTTTAAAAGACTGTGATATTCTATCAGAAAACCAACATGGATACACTGAAAAAACTTAGCTATAAATATGACTGCAACTTCTTTATTATGAAGTAGCTGGAACTTCGGATATGAGGTAAGTTATGAGTCTTTACTATGAAGACGTGTTGCAGTTGAAATTCTCAAAGTACCTTGAGCTTATCTTAATTCCATTGAAAGCTTAAGATAACATCATCCTGCATTAATAGTCAAGTCATCCTGACTTTCTTAAAAATATTCCTGCATTATCTATTGATACTGAAGAGTTAGCATGTATTACTGGAAACTTTATGATATAAATCAGCGCTACATAGACTTCAACTCATAATAAAAGTTGTGACTTTGGATGTTGAATGATACACAAAGAATATTTTTTCATAGTTTTATTACAAAAAATGTAGGTACTTATGCAAATCATCTAGAACAGATCCCTTTGGTGTTGAAGCAAACACTGAGAGATGATGCTAGAAGTTCTTCAATGAGACTTACGCTGTGCAAATTCATTCTATAAATTATAAAAATGAATTAATCATAAATGAATAAACATATGAGGTACTAAAACTTACACTGGGTTATGACTGTCATAATTATTATTATCATACTCTTCTTGGAAACACTCGCGGAAATTATTGTCATTATTTGTTGTGTTTTCGGTGGTCGTTAAAATAGAGTAGGTTTTGCCCTCGATGTCTACTAGTTCTATCTAGAACATTGCAGAATCAGATGAAGTCATTGACGTACATACTTTTATTCATAATTTAAATACTCACCAATGATGCTTCAACTCGTTCTGATGGTAAGGTGGAAATATTAAGTGTCGCATCAATAATGGGAAGATTAGGAGAAAGATTTTTTTCTCTAGACGTTGTTCTTCTCTAGGCGTTGTTTTTCTCTGATTTCCGCCAATTTTCTCACCATTACGAATCTTTCCCCTAATTTTGGTAAAAGTTTCGCAATGGCGTCGGAGTCGAGAAACAGCAAAACTTCTGGGGTAATGCCTTCTTCTTAAAAACCAAAGAAAGAATATAATAAAGTATTTATAATTTAAGTAAGGATTCTATTTATAATGCTACAAACTGCAATTCAATATCACAGTTTGAAGCTCACATTATGTTAAGGGCAATCTCTTCATTACGTAACATTAAGTAACAAAAAATGAATATCGTGTGTGGGAAAATGATGCTTATTGGGATGCCTTCAAAATGGTTTTTCAGGTTACTGTTAACTGTTATCTTCTGTTAATGATTATACTAATGGCATAATGCACATATACCTACTAAAATAATAAAATGTAAATTATTATTATATATAAGGACTTACCTTCAAAATTTCCTAAGTGATGCCCCAGACCTATCTCTTCAAGAAATTCTTTGCATGCCATTTTTATATGGACGCTCGCGAAGGGCAAAAAATATAGACTGATGAAGATGGTTTTTGTTGGACGACGTTGTGCGGTACCTTACCGTGTGACCTTGTGCCAGCATCGACACAACGAAACGTTTGGGCCAATGTTAAGGAAATTCACATGGAACTAAATTCTCTATCTATTATCTTTTACCTTTTCAATGGCTGTTGAAGTAACAACTCGAGGATTTAATATAATCGATAATATTCATAATATTAAAGAAAGCATGTGCTTAAATGTATCCCAGTCCTTAAAAATGTATTCATAGGAAAAAGTTTCTTAGCAATAAAGACATGTGTCTTGATATTTATCTGGAATGATCAACCCCTACTTGACTTAAATATTAAGAAAGAATTTCTATACTGTTATGAAGAGTTTCGTAACACCAAATACCGTTCTTAATTCGCAAGACTAGTCCCTTGAATAGTATAATGCTGGCCTCAAAGTCACATAGGACTTGAGTTTTAATGCTGACTTTTTTCAGTGTATATTGAAGGAAAGTCAACACAAACTGCAATATTTCAATTTACTCGGGCAATTTTGAGAGACTTAGAGGAGGGAAATTTGGCCCTGGGTATTTTCTTGGATCTGTCAAAAGCTTTTGATATCTTAGATCGAGATCTTTTGCTAAAAAAAATGGAAATATATGGTATAAGGGGACGTGCACTTGAATGGCTTGCGTCATATTTAAATAAAAGAACACAAAGAGTCATACTTCATAAAAACGGAATTTCATATAAATCAGAGATTATGCAAAATACAGTAGGGGTTCCCCAAGGCAGCATACTGGGACCGATTTTATTTATAATTTTTATGAATGACATCAACACAGAATGCTCAGATATTGATTATGAATTAACAGAATATGCGGATGACACAAATGTTCTGGTCAGTGGCTCAAATTTGCAGAAAATTGTTGAAAAAACTTCTCTTTTATTCCCAGAAACTGAAAATTGGTTCAAGAAAAATAAATTATGCCTAAACACAGGGAAGACAAATGCTATTCTATTCAGAACCAAGTTAAACAGAACAGAGAAACCTGAATATATTTCAGTCAACGAAAATCAATTTACATTAAAAAACGATACCAAATTTTTAGGCGTACATGTGGATGAACATTTAGACTGGTCTTTCCATATTGGGCGCCTAGAAAATAAGTTGAATAGCATTTGTTTTTGCATTCGCACTGTTTCAAGGTATATGAATGAGACATCGCGTAGAACACTGTATTTTGCAAATTTTGAAGGTACTGCTAGGTACGGTATAATTTTTTGGGCATCCAACTCTAGGGCACAAAACATATTTGTTATTCAAAAGCGAACAATACGAACAATGTATAAAATGTCCCCCCTACAATCGTGCAGGGGAATATTTAGGGAAAAAGGGATAATGACAATTTACGCTCTATATATCTATGAGACAATTTTATTTATTTTCAAGAATATGCAATTGTTTAATGCTATTGATGCTAGTCATAATTATAACACTAGAGCAAATAATATTTGTTTTCCGAGGCACAGGCTAACATTATTGGAAAAAAGTCCATGTTACATGGGAATAAAACTTTTCAATAAACTAAACAATGAATTAAAAATAATGACACAAGAAAAAATGTTTAAAAGTAAACTGAAAAAAATACTTATTGAGTTGGAACCATATAGTATACAAGAATATTTGAATTATATATAACTGGATATAAGATAATGTAATTGTTCTGAGTATCATTAGGTGTAAGGTCTTTTTTGTGACGCTATTTCATTTCATAGTTTATGTGTATATTTTTATGTATGTTACTGTAATCTGAAATAAAGTTAAAAATAAATAAATAAATAAATCATTGACACTCGCAGTCAAAATCTCCAGTGTCCGAAAAAATACCGTTGGTTACAACCATTCAACCAGAATCCCGAATCTACAACCCAGGCAGGAAGAAAACTACCTCTGAGACTTCATCGGTAAGTGTTGAGCAAACCTTTCTTTCCCCCTATTGTTCCCCGTTTGAAAAAAAAAATAAAATTATTTTGTAATTCAAGCCTTCGAGTATAAATCTTGTAACTTGCAATTACTGAAAGGAAACCGAAGTTGAAAAAATTAATAAAGCATTCAATTCAAATCCTAAAGAAATGGCTACGATTCAAGCCGCAAAAGAAATTGCATATACACTCAGAAATTTTAATGGTCGCAGTGAACATGTAGAATCATTCATTAATGCAGTCGATAAATTTTTCGAAAGATATGGCAAAACAACAGACAACAGTCTTAACGAATTCGTTTTTGCAGCTATCTGTTCAAAAATTGTCGACGTAGCTGGTGACTTTTTACTCTGTAGACCCGATCTTAATACTTGGCCAGAAGTAAGACAAGCATTAAGAACTAAATTTGGAGGCAAGATCGATAGATATGTACTCCAGCAACAATTCATTTATTTAAACAAACAAAAAAATGAAAGCATGAGTGAATTTTTAGAAAAGTTGAAACTGGTAAAGATGAGATCAAACCTTAAAATCAACTCTGACTCTAGTATAGATACAGCAACAAAATTAGCTTTAATCAACCAGAACGAATTAACTGCCGTAACCGTTTTAATCTCGAACTCAAATTCTGAACTCAGAACATTGCTAATGTTAAAAAAACCCGCCAATATCGAGGAAGCCACTTCCCTTGTTTTAAAGCACTCTTTAATATGGAACAACAAATAAATCTAAGGAGTAATAATAACAATTTATCAAAAGATAAATATTCCTAACCCAAGACCAAACTTGAATTAACCACCATCAAACAATACTAACAACAGTAATTATTATTATCAAAACCCCAAGCCTATTTATCATCCGTCACAAAATCGTCACCTCTAACACAAAACCCACTTTCCCAAGCCAACCGATTAACATTGAATCACGTCCAGTTCAGCAAAAATTCTTTACTAATGAACAAGTATTTGGTAAACCAACAAATGCTTTTAGCAAAAGAAATTCGCACAAACCCCAAGGTAAACCCCAACCTATGTCTATTAGTACCAGATTTACGGGAATCCCATCGAAAAAGAACTATAGACCAAACTACTTCCAGTCTACAGGAAAACCGAATTTCACGTTCGAAGAACTAACCAACGTTGAAACTAATCCACCCAAATTTGAATACCAATACCCTAATTACGAAAATGCAACTAATGACAATCAAAATATCGATAATGACACCGAGGAATTCGAAAACGACAACTACTACCAGCATACCTTCGATTTCGAAGCCCCTGAAAACTTTTCCACAGAAAATCTAATCAAAAATTGACTTTTACTAACAAAATTAAACATGAAATTAAAACCACGGACGATAAACCAATTTACACAAAGTCTTATAGATACTCTCACGTTCATAAAAATGAGGTAAGGAAACAGATAACAAAGATGCTAGAAGATGGTATTATCCGACCCTCTCAATCACCATGAAGTTCCCCCATTTGGATAGTCCCAAAGAAACTCGATGCAAGCGGAAAACAAAAATGGCGCATCGTAGTTGACTATCGAAAAATTAACGAGAAGACAATCGATGACCGCTACCCTCTTCCAAACATTTCCGACATATTAGATAAACTGGGTCGTTGTCAGTATTTCACGACATTAGACTTAGCATCTGGTTTCCATCAAATCGAAATGGCCCCAAACTCCATTGAAAAAACAGCCTTTAACGTCGAAAATGGACATTACGAATATGTTCGGATGCCATTCGGACTCAAAAATGCACCCGCCACGTTCCAACGCGTAATGGACAACGTCCTAAAAGAATTACAAGGAAAAAATTGCTTAATTTCCATGGACGATATCATTATTTTCTCAACATCCCTCCAAGAACACCTCAACAACCTGAAACAAGTATTTCAGAAGTTAAAGGATGCAAATCTCAAAATCCAATTAGATAAATCTGAATGTTTGTGTAAATCTGTCGAATTCCTAGGCAATGTAGTCACTCCAGATGGTATCAAACCGAATCCCAGGAAAACTAAAGCAATCCAAAATTTCCCAATTCCAAAAACAACCAAGGAAATTAAATCCTTCCTCGGATTAGTAGGCTATTATAGAAAATTTATTAAAAACTTCGCAAAGCTTACCAAACCAATGGCTCAGTGTCTGAAAAAGAACACAAAAATTGAACACGCACCCGAATTCGTAAACTCATTTAACCTTTGTGAAAATATTTTATTGAACGACCCCATCCTGAATACCCCGACTTCTCGAAACCCTTCAATTTAACAACAGACGCCTCTAATTTTGCCATAGGAGCCATTCTATCTCAAGGCCCCATAGGGAAAGACCTCCCAATCGCATATGCGTCTAGAACCCTAAATCCTGCAGAAATAAATTATAGCACTATAGAAAAAGAGCTTCTCGCCATTGTATGGGCCGTTAAATATTTCCGACCATACTTATTTGGAGTAAAATTCAAAATCATAAGCAATCACAAACCTCTCCAATGGCTGTTCTCACTGAAAGACCCTAACTCTAAATTAGTTCGATGGCGATTGAAATTACAAGAGTATGACTATGAAATTATATATAAAAAAGGGAAACTGAATACAAACGCAGACGCGCTTTCACGTGTAGAAATCAATCCTATTGAAGTCGACCTCGATGACCGTCTTTCAATTCTCGCAAATGCAGGAGACTCCTCTGAGATTCCAGAGCTTTCAAAGGAAGAAATCGAGGAAATTCTGGGAATTACCAATAACCACCCAACAACCCAGGATGAAACTCCTAACAATAACCTTAAAATAATAATAATTCATGAAAATATTACTTTGAAACCAACACAGAATATTCCAATAGCAACGGTTCCCGAACAAACAGATGGTTCAACCGTCCACTCCAATTCAGAAGATCCAATAATAGGCGCCCCATATACAGAAAGACCCGTAAACACCTACAAAAACCAAATCATTTTTCTCAACTCTAATAAAAATCAGACTAAAATGCAAAAAGAAAAAATCTTTGAGAAAAACCGTTTATCCTATTTCATTCCTCAAGACCAGATGAAGATACCTTCATTAAACTCCTAAAAGAACATTTAGTCCCTAAACAAACGGGGGGGGGGGGGCAGGTTAACGCTAGCCCCCCCTGTTGGATTTACTCAGCCAAAATGCTAGCACAGGTGCAAGATACCTACCACAACCTAGCACACCATTTTTTAAAGCTAGCACACCATTTTTTAAAGCTAGCACACCCATAGTTTAGCAAAAAAATGATATGATTTTTAACTTATTAACTCTTGCGAAATATGCCAAAAAAGCAAGTACGAAAGGCATCCCACAAAACTAGTGTTCAAACCTACCCCTTTTGGTTTTGAACCTTTTGATCACCTTTATGCAGACACATATAAAACCCACGGACAATACTTTTGTGACAATTATATACAGTTTCTCAAAATTCGGTCAAGCCTACCCCATTCAATCACAAACAGTTGAAATTGCAAACAAATTACGCTGTGTCTAGCCTCCCGGCACCGGTATTCATACAAATCCCGGTTATGACGCGTTTTCGATGACTCCATCAACGACCGCCGGGATTTATCGTGGGTCCCGGCTATTGGATTCAAAATTCAAACTAGTGCTTCTCTTGCTGCTTGAAGCTGTGATTAATTCCGGAATAGCTTTTGTGTATTATTATTTTTTATTGTAATATTGGTATTAGAGTGGTTATAAGTACTTCGATCGTTAATCCACTTTTCGTAGTAGTGGTTTAAAAAGGGAATAGTATGGTTTATTTTCATTCAGTATTCAGGACTATAGCCTTTTTAACAGCCAGTATCTCTGAAATAGGGTACTGTTGGACCCATTTTTATAGGAATTTTTGCTCTTAATTTGAGATGTAGAATCCGCAGTTAAAATATTAACCTCTAATTTTGGGGCACCCTGTGTAATGTTGCTGGACATTAACGGCGTTGCTGTACAAGATCAAATGCTGAACAAACTTTTAAAATGACCCTAGTAGGTACCTACATTTAATAAAAAGTCATACATAATTTTATTTTCCATTAATAAAAGCTTATCGCGGTCGACTTTGTTTCCGGGATTCGTATGAATACCGGTGCCGGGAGGCTAGACACCAGCGAACAAATTATTGCAATTCTTTAATCATTTCGGAATCCCGAGACTCCGAGACGTATAACAACTGATAATGGACACGAATGGAAAAACGAAGTCGTGCAAAACCTGTGTAAAATACATCATATAGAAGTCCATTATACCACCCTCTATAATCCTAATAGCAACAGCCCAATAGAACGATTCCATTCAACCTTGGCAGAAACAATACTCACTTTGAAAAATTCTCAACCTAATGAATCAATCTTGACCCTCATCAATTACGCCCTTTTATCTTATAAAAACTCCGTACATAGTTCTACAAATTATACACCATTCCAGATAATTCGTGGTAAACTTGACTATAGAAACCCCTTTGAAATAGATGATAAAATAAAAATGACACAATACATACAAGACCATGCCGAAAACATAAATACTCTTTACCAAATGATTCGAAAGAAACTGGAATTGAACCAACAGAAACACCTAGAAAAACTAAATGAAAATAGACAACAAGAAATTATTATCGACTCTGAACAACCCTTATATAAATCAAAAAGACGAAATGCTTCTCAAAAGAAAACAACAAACCCATACGAAAAGGTCGATTAAAATATAATAGTTAACTATCATAAAATGAAAACAAAAAATAAAGTTTACCACAAAAATTTGCTAAAACCACAACGTATTGTTTCAGGCAAAACAAAATGCGGAGAATCATCCTATTATTCGGACTCGGACTAATAGAGTCCCTAAGGATAAAGGAAATCAAAAATCCAATCCTTCCTGTACACATGGGACAATCACAAATAATCACTCCCAAGCATGTATTCCTTTTCCACATTACCCAGCCGGAACACTCAGTTAACCAAATTAAAAACTCAATAATTAAATTAAACTCTTCCATAATCGATAATAAACCCACCAACCATTTTTCAATTATAATCTCTAATAAGATATCACACGCCTTATCATTAGCTAACACCATCTTCAACAAAATCAAAACGTTCTCCGAGAATCGCCTAAATAAATGCGGACTATTTAATGGCGTAGGAAAAGCTCAAAAATGGCTATTTGGAACCTTAGACGCAGATGACGAAAAACATTTTTCTTCCTACCTAGAAATACTACAAATTAACGAAAATAAAATATACAGTAACTTAAAAAATCAACAAAGTGCTTTAAAACAAATTTCGAACAGTTATTATGAAAAATTTCAAAAACTACACAAAAATCAGTTGTCTATGGAAATTCAATTATGTAACGTATCTATCAAAGGAAATCAACAAATTCGTTAATCTAAAACAAGAATTTTCATTTTCTAACATTATTGATAATCTGTTAATACAACTGCAAAATATTCAATACACTCTAAATAATATAGAGTTAGCAATATCTTTTGCCAAGCTGAATACCTTACACAGTTCTATGGTGGATCCTAATCAATTAGTCTTAATCCTTAATAAGTTAAGTAAATTATATGATACAGAACATATTCCTAAATTAAAAAAAATGATCTAGTTATTATTATGTTTTTTCAACTCAGGTAAAGACAAATCAATACTCTTCAAGATTTATACTCCAGTAGTCTCTTCTAAGTTTAAACACTTCAAACTATACCCTATACCTATCCTGAACCAGACAATCATCCCTGAACAACCCTACCTATTGCTCAATACCGAAAACTATTGGACAACTTCAGAGACCTGCCCTGAAGTAGAAGATTGGCACTTCTGTTTGCAAAACAGTTTACAGAAACACCAACCTTGCCTAACTGATTTGATGAGAACCGGTAAAAATTCCTGCGAAAAAGTTCGACTACACTTTTCCGAGACTAGCCTAATACAAATTAATTCAAAAGAAGTACTAATCATTCCTGCTGGATCAACAAACATCAAATCTAGTTGTGACATCGAAGGACTTCATGAGATAACCGTACCCAGTGTCATATCATTGGAAAATTGTAGAATTTACATAAATAATAAGAGTTCGTCTTCGAGCTTCCAACAATAGATCTACAGGCAACCGACGAAACTAATAAAGAAAAGAAACATCTTCACATGAAGCAAATCAACTTTGAAAACATCAAGCAAATTAATGAATTCACCAACAACCCACAAGTAGCTGAACCAGCCATTATTATAAGACATCACCACAGTCATCCATGGGTAATACCTTTATGATACTCTCAATAATGTGCTGCTTGATAGGAGTATACTGGTATACGAAAATCTATCGCAAAAATCGAACCATCAAAACCACTGAAAAAACCAACACCAACCAGAAAATAAAAGATGAACCTTTATTTTCTGACTTAGGAAGGGAGGAGTTATGTGCTTAATATATCACTTATCGTTTCTTAATGTAAACATAATGACACATTTATGACTTCTTTTAGATATATATAGAGCTAAGGGATCCTTTGTAAGTAGATTAGTATTACTGAAGACTTAGTTCTATAAGTATTGTAATAGTTATTCTCTATTTTTGCGTAAATAAAGTTTTTTAAAAACAAAGTTTCGCGAATAAATAACTTAATTCAAGTTAAAACATTACTTATGATAATAGCCATATTGAAAAAACTCTCCTCAAAGTGCAAAAGTTTTATTTTATTTAAGTAAATGTTACTACAATTTTGATATTTTTTGAACTACCCTGTATGCTGTTTGACTTGCAACCATTCTAAGTGCACCTAATATGATTATCAGACATGCACAAACTTTTGGCCTTGTTTGTATTTTGATTGTGCTATTACTAAAAAAAAATCCCATACGTTGCACACTTAAGTAATGACTGTATAACTTTAATGTTCCAACTGTGTCATCTTGCTGAACTTAACTATTTATAAGAGTTTTCTTTTCTTCTTGCTCAATCTCCCGTACATACCTAGGGACGTCTCGAATCAGTTCTTGGGTGATATTTTTATCTTTATCTTTCTCCTTTCACATTTCTAACGGAAATATTCTAATAGGATTAAAAAATAAAACAAATGGGATTCATACAATCTAATTTAATTGGGAATTATTGAAAACAACAATCATACTAATAAAAAAACAAACAGGAAAAATGAAAAATTATTACGCCGGTTGAAACTTCACCCACAAAAATGTATAGCAGTTACTCACAAAAGTAAGATCTGAATGAAACTGGATTGATAGGATCAACATAAAAATAAACATTTTCCGAAACATAAAGAAACGTTGGCTTTAACATTGAAACCCTTAAAAGTAAAAAACAAAAATCATATTCCTTCTGAAGTAGTGACACCAAAATAAAAAATTGCTTCAATTCTCTGCAGACTCTTTGACATCTGGCAAAGGAGTCTGCGGCCTTGACACAGACGAAGGCACAATTTTATTATCGTGGCTTAAACGACCACTGAGCGAGCTGGATGGTCTACTCAAAGGTTTTTCCTCATCATCATTGGGTAAGGGACTATGGGGCCTTGACACTGAAGCTGGCACAATTTTATCATCATGGCTTCTAGAGGAACGGTCAATACTTGAGGACCTGCTACTAGCAGCTGATGGAAAATTAGGAATAGGGGATGCGGCTGTAGACTTTGTTTGTGATTTTTCATCAGAAACTCCTTCTGAATCTATCTGTAGTTTTTCAATTTCCTTGACTACCTTTTCAACCGCCTCCCCTTCTGCTACTTCAAATTTATCAGCCTCATCTGGCACTGTTTCACTATCTAACACATTCTGGGTTTCCTCAAATTGATCTACTTCTTTTTTCTTGGATTCTTCCGCATCTATTTCAATTTGCTCTTCTTCTTGAGTTGCCTTTTCATCGTTCTGATTTTCCATTGTTACTTTCTCTTCTGCCTTCACAGCCTCCGGCTCAGAGTGATGTCCAGAATCAGTTTCAGATCCCCGAGTAGTATTTCTGTCTTCATCTTTCTCTAAACACTCTTCGTGTTGTTCTATTGTCTCTTCACGTCTCTCAATTGACTCTACCTCATCATCTGTCTCTAAAGATTCGTTAACTCTTTCTATAGACTCTTCATCTTTCTGTATAGACTCTTCACCTTTCTCACTCTCAGATACTTGAATTGTATTTTTGTTTTTGGCTTCCTCTATGTATTCTTCATGTTGCTCAAAGGACTCTTCATCTTTCAGTAGAGACTCTTCACCCGTCTCTTTAAACTCCTCACTTTTCTCTGTGGACTCTTCACCTTTCTCTACAGACACTTCAACGTCTAGAGAATCATCAATGGTGATAATTGATAACATATTGACATCACTATCAGCATCTTGTTTTCTGTCCTTGGAATGCATTGGATCCAGATAATCACCAACTAAAATTCAAAAACAGGTCAAATTTACCACTACAGACACGTTTTGATGTAAATGCACTACCTGCTTGGTGATCAATTACTAAATCGCCACTTAAACCTAAATAATCATCAGTCTTTTGTATATCCGACAGATCCAAGCTGTTGCCAACTTCTAGTAACATTTTAACAATATTTTCACCATGTAACAGCAACTCGACTGTTGCCGTTTCGCCTGTTGTTATCTTCTTGATCTCAAAAATGGTTTGGCCCTCTGCAGAAATTTCGGAAAATTTTTCTTGGGCTTGCTTAGTCCAATGAGGAACATCTTCGGGCCGCTGAAGGCTACATTTCTGGGCAAGCGGAGAAGTAACTACGAGACCTTCTGGCAGTTGACGAAGGCTGCTGCTGACGCACGAGTTGCCATAATCAATGAATAGGAGCTCAATACCTGAAATAAGTTTAATATTGAAATTGGATTTTAATGTGAATAAATTGAATTTTGACTAAAGTTCAAAGTGAATATGATAGGAAGATAGAAAAGAATTTTATTTACGGATAAACTATTTTACAGTAGGTACAATAATTCTCAATCTATAGATATTTAGGTAGGTATGTGTTAAACGTTAAACCAATAAATCATTGTTTCGCTGTCTAGATAGGGCACCTAATAAATCATTGAGATTAAGTATTAAAAAAAAAATACAAAAAAGATAACAATAATAAAAAGTTTAAAATGACCTTAACAATAAATAAACATAATAATAACAAGAATAAAACACTAACTGAAACAATCGTTAGATCGATTTGATTTGTCTTCTGAAACCTTCCAGTAAAATATTGAAAAGATCCACAATCAATTTATCACAGCATTTGCTAGTTTTGAAAATCTAGTTATAGGAGAATAGGCTCGTACAGCATTTTTTTATTACATATTCTAAAAGAACGTATTGAGTTTAGCAGTTGTGCAAAATTTCATAATTTTCTGAGCCCTTGTTCATATTTAAATAAATTATCAAAACGCTCCAAATTTGAAAGTTTTGAAACACGCGGTTACGTCACTGCATCTCTCACGTTGTTCGTTTGACGGCCTTTAGCTCGTCTTGACTCGAGAGATGACGTCATACCATCTCTCAGCGATAAATTTCTGAGGCATATTGTTTTAATATTCAAAGCCCCATAACTTTTTTAATATTTATCCAATTGAGCTGATTTTTTTTTGTGTGCTATATGTGAGTAATACTCCATAAAAATATCAGAAAACGTGGTTAATGAAACTCCACTGAACGAGCCTATTGTGCCCATCATTAGTACGATGATATTGTACAGGGTGAGTCACCATATTTTGACACCTACCTGCAACCGTAATTACAGGTGATAGCTAGGTGTAAATACACAAGCTGTAGCATTTTATCTGAACCGCCAGAATTTTTAATTAAATATAACAAATGAGCAACGTAAAGTGAAAAAATAGGTCGATGTTCACTTTTTTTAAATGGAATGCCACTAATTTTCTTCTAAATTCTTAAAGTTCTCGTTTGTCTGATTCACATTATATGATAAGTAAATGTTCCTTTCAATAGTTTTGGAAATATCCGGTCTCAGTTATGCGAAGACAGTAGTTTTTTGAATATATTTTACCTTGATTTACCAGTCCCCTGTTCACAAAACATTGTGATACGTGAATGTCACCTATATCAAGTTAGCAATACCACATGCACGCCGGAATATGGCGTTAAGTGATTAATTTGTCGCTTTTTTGTCGTAAATTTGTCGTGCAAAAAAAAAATTTGTCGCGTTTTTCTTTTTTCTTAAATACCCTGTTAGTGCTAACTTGATATCAAGTTAGCACTACCAACGTCACCCGATGTTCCTACAGAAGTTTTATCAGGTGAATAATTTGTCGCTTTTTTGTCGTAAATTTGTCGTGCAAAAAAAAAATTGTCGCGTTTTTCTTTTTTTTTAAATACTCTGGTAGTGCTAATTTGATATCAAGTTGGCACTACCAACGTCACCCGATGTTCCTACAGAAGTTTTATCAGGTGAATAATTTGTCGCTTTTTTGTCGTAAATTTGTCGTGCAAAAAAAAAAAAATTGTCGCGTTTTTCTTTTTTCTTAAATACTCTGGTAGTGCTAACTTGATATCAAGTTAGCACTACCAACGTCACCCGATGTTCCTACAGAAGTTTTATCAGGTGAATAATTTGTCGCTTTTTTGTCGTAAATTTGTCGTGCAAAAAAAAAATTTGTCGCGTTTATCTTTTTTCTGAAATACCCTGATAGTGCTTACTTGATATCAAGTTTGCACTATCAACGTCACCTGATGTTTCTACAGAACCAGAAGTCTTATTAGGTGAATAATTTATCGCTTTTTTGTCGTAGATTTGTTGTGTAAAAAAAAAAGTTGTCGCGTTTTTTTTTCTTCTCAAATACCTTGGTAATACTAACTTGATATCCAGTTAGCACTATCAACTTCACCCGATATTCCTACAGAAGTTTTATTAGGTGAATAATTTGTCGTTTTTTTGTCGTAAATTTGTCGTGTAAATAGTTATTTGTTTTACTAGGCAGAAAAGTACAAGATTTAATGCCGCGGCTGGTGTTTCATAGCCGAGGCTAGGAAACCAGCCGAGGCATTAAATCTGCTTTTCTGCCATGTGAAACATATAATTTTTTCTCCGAATGTTCAAATTCACACATGGACATCTTTTTTATATTTATTTCATTCATTATTATTATCCAAATAATTAAATTATTTTGACAATAATTGTCATTGTCTTGTCACCATCAATTTCAAATACCAAATTGAGTGAAATTATTACCTGGAACGTTGTGACACTGTCACTTTTAATGCCTAGGCAGTAAAAATACAACTTTTGATCCTGTCAAGTGTCATTAAAAGGCCGCTTTTACTGTCATTCGGAGAAAAAAAAAATCCGCGTTTTTTTTTTTTTTTTTTCTTAAACACCTTGGTCGATATTCCTACAGAAGTTTTATTAGGTGAATAATTTGTCGTTTTCTTGTCGTAAATTTGTCGTGCAAAAAAAAAATTGTCGCGTTTTTCTTTTTTCTTAAATACCCTGGTAGTGCTAACTTGATATCAAGTTAACACTACCAACGTCACCCGCTGTTCCTACAGAAGTTTTATTAGGTGAATAATTTGTCGTTTTTTTGTCGTAAATTTGTTGTGCAAAAAAAAAATTGTCGCGTTTATCTTTTTTCTTAAATACCTACCCTGATAGTGCTAACTTGATATCAAGTTAGCACTACCAACGTCACCCGATGTTCCTACAGAAGTTTTATTAGGTGAATAATATGTCGCTTTTTTGTTGTAAATTTCTTGTGTAAAAAAAAAAATTGTCGCGTTTTTCTTTTTTCTTAAAGACCCTGGTAATGCTAATTTGTCGCGTTTATCTTTTTTCTTAAATACCCTGATAGTGCGAACTTGATATCAAGTTAGCACTACCAACGTCACCCGATGTTCCTACAGAAGTTTTATTAGGTGAATAATTTGTCGTTTTTTTGTCGTAAATTTGTTGTGCATAAAAAAATTTGTCGCGTTTATCTTTTTTCTTAAATACCTACCCTGATAGTGCTAACTTGATATCAAGTTAGCACTACCAACGTCACCCGATGTTCCTACAGAAGTTTTATTAGGTGAATAATTTGTCGTTTTTTTGTCGTAAATTTGTCGTGCAAAAAAAAAATTTGTCGCGTTTTTCTTTTTTCCTAAATACCCTGGTAGTGCTAACTTGATATCAAGTTAACACTACCAACGTCACCCGATGTTCCTACAAAAGTTTTATTAGGTGAATAATTTGTCGTGCTAACTTGATATCAAGTTAGCACTACCAACGTTACTCGATATTCCTACAGAAGTCTTATTAGGTGAATAATTTGTCGCTTTTTTGTCGTAAATTTGTCGTGCGGAAAAAAAAATTGTCGCGTTTTTCTTTCTTCCTGAATACCCTGATAGTGCTTACTTGATATCAAGTTTGCACTATCAACGTCACCCGATATTCCTACAGAAGTTTTATTAGGTGAATAATTTGTCGTTTTTTTGTCGTAAATTTGTTGTGCAAAAAAAAAATTTGTCGCGTTTATCTTTTTCCCTAAATACCCTGGTAGTGCTAACTTGATATCAAGTTAACATTACCAACGTCACCCGATGTTTCTACAGAAGTTTTATTAGGTGAATAATTTGTCGTTTTTTTGTCGTAAATTTGTTGTGTAAAAAAAAAATTTGTCGCGTTTTTCTTTTTTCTTAAATACCCTGATAGTGCGAACTTGATATCAAGTTAGCACGTGCGAACTTGATGTCAAGTTAGCACTACCAGCGTCACCCGATGTTCCTACAGAAGTTTTATTAGGTGAATAATTTGTCGTTTTTTTGTCGTAAATTTGTCGTGCTAAAAAAATTTGTCGCGTTTTTCTTTTTTCCTAAATACCCTGGTAGTTCTAACTTGATATCAAGTTTACATTACCAACGTCACCCGATGTTCCTACAGAAGTTTTATTAGGTGAATAATTTGTCGTTTTTTTGTCGTAAATTTGTCGTGCAAAAAAAAAAAATTGTCGCGTTTTTTTTTTTCCTAAATATCCTCGTAGTGCTAACTTGATATCAAGTTAACATTACCAACGTCACCCGATGTTCCTACAGAAGTTTTATTAGGTGAATAATTTGTCGTTTTTTTGTCGTAAATTTGTCGTGCAAAAAAAAAATTGTCGCGTTTATCTTTTTTCTTAAATACCCTGGTAGTGCTAACTTGATATCAAGTTAACATTACCAACGTCACCCGATGTTCCTACAGAAGTTTTATTAGGTGAATAATTTGTCGTTTTTTTGTCGTAAATTTGTCGTGCAAAAAAAAAAATTGTCGCGTTTTTCTTTTTTCTTAAATACCCTGGTAGTGCTAACTTGATATCAAGTTAGCACTACCAACGTTATGTTAACTTGATATCAAGTTAGCACTACCAGGGTATTTAAGAAAAAAGATAAACGCGACAAATTAACATTACCAGGGTATTTAAGAAAAAAGAAAAACGCGACAAATTTTTTTTTTGCACAACAAATTTACGACAAAAAAACGACAAATTATTCACCTAATAAAACTTCTGTAGGAATATCGGGTGACGTTGATAGTGCAAACTTGATATCAAGTAAGCACTATCAGGGTATTTAGGAAGAAAGAAAAACGCGACAATTTTTTTTTTTTGCACGACAAATTTACGACAAAAAAGCGACAAATTATTCACCTAATAAGACTTCTGTAGGAATATCGAGTAACGTTGGTAGTGCTAACTTGATATCAAATTAGCACTATCAGGGTAGGTATTTAAGAAAAAAGATAAACGCGACAAATTAGCATTACCAGGGTATTTAAGAAAAAAGAAAAACGCGACAATTTTTTTTTTTTTGCACAACAAATTTACGACAAAAAAACGACAAA